GTAATTAAAAAAAACACAAAAAAACAGAATTTTACTTTTATTCTAAAAATTCCCTTTTGGTTCCTGCCATCCAGAACATGTATGCTCCCGTGTTCATTCGGCAGTCAAGCTACCTGTGGCTTTAGATTCATAACTCTTTTGACTCTTTGTCCAGCCACAAAAGCTTTAACAAGGACCTTCGCCTTCTAAAATTCCCCCAGAAGTTCCTCCCCGGGGAACTTAGCTAGTTATATATGCAAACATGTTGGTCTCTCCTCTTATATTTTTTTCATAAAATGGACCAACTTAGCACAAAATAACTTAGGAAAACCTTTGTTTTAAGTCTACCTCAATGGCCTTCCCAAAAAGAAGGTTTTCAAATATGGTGGGAACAATAAGATATGTTCTTTGTTTGATAGGTTGAAACTTATAAAATACAAAATGACTCCAAAAACAGTTCTCAAAGGATCCTCAAAGAAACTTTGGCCAACTGAGAAGGTAATTTTTACTTAGGCGCCTAAGAGCAAGAGCCTCCTCTAAAAGGTTAATGGAAAATTGAAGATATAAGAGGAACCCAAAACAAAAGACTGGAAGGCCAGTTGGTTTTCCTCTCCTCTCTCTCTCAGGAATAGCTATTGCCCTCTTTGGAATTCTAAGGGCTTGACGTAGCTTTCTGCTCGCTCAGGACGTGCAGGCAGTCAGGTCTTCCCTTGAGCTATCAAAGGAATGATCCTGGAAGGTTGTGACCTTCGTATACTCTTGGGCCCATGGAATAGTTTTACTGTCAAACGTATTTACTGTTTGTCCCACCTTAAACCTGATAAGATAATTCAGATACTTTAGTAATTCCATGATCAGATCTTTGGTAGAATTAAAAGTCTGACAGGAACATTTTTAAGGTTTCCTCGGCAGCAATCCAGGCACTCCTGCAGAAAACCAGGAATGTAAACACAGTCCACGACTGCTTGGGCCTGAGCTCACCAAAGGGGGAGAATATGAGGCTGAAGGTTCCCTTTGCCTACGCAGCCCCATCCTCCACCCTCCCACTCTCTCCCCACTCCTTAAATATTGTTTATCAAATACAAATACAAACCTTAAAACTCTTCTCTAAAAACAGGAAAAGCAATGCCATCTAAGCAGTTGAACTTAACTTATATAGACTGATATAAACTGGTGAATTTTGCATTATTGTACCTGTCTCATGACTGAAAATATTTTTTTAAAATTATTATTACTGTTGTTTAAATTATTACACATCTTCTTCCCCACTGATTGACCCCCCACTCCTGTCCCCCAGGATAAGCCCTCACCACCTCAGTGTCCATGTCCATTGCTTATGCTAATATTCATGCATATGTTAATGTAAAAAAGCCATGGAAACACGTAAAGAATCGTTGTGAGTCTTTTTGAGCCAAACTGTCGACATATACCGGGAAGCAAAACCTCAACAAATTGTGATAATGCTCCAGAGAATGGCGGGTTACATTTATATTTATATATTGCAATCAAAGGAAAGGGACATAGATGGGTGACATGAAATCCATTGGTGACAGACTAGAGAGGCGGGAGAAAGCAAAGTGGGAAAAGCCCTGGGATTGGATCAAAAGTAAAATGACAGACACAGAGTTAGGTGGGTGCAGGATCAATTAACATGATAATGAAGAAATTTGTGGTATTTGTCCTTGGTTGTGTCCCAAGAGGGCCAGAAAAAGGGAATGTACAAGTTACCCAGATATTTCAAAGGGTATGTTATTATAGATGCAAAAAGACAGATGGGCCCAGTTAAGATAAAGGTTGACCTTGTCAGTGAAGGTACTGGCCTAGGATGTAACTGCCCACCATAATGGCTTTTAGTTAAAGTTTAGTTTCAGACCATCCTTTGGGGTTACTTTAGGTCTCTGAGTTTGAAAGTCGGCCATGCACGCCTCCCCTGAGCTTGTCAGGTTAGCATGCTGCCCTTTTCGTCCACACATACAAGTCCTTTCATTTTTTTTTTTTAATAGTTTATTGATTTTTTAGAGAGAGAGTAAGAGAGAGGGAGAGAAAATACCTCCTGCATGCCACCTACTGGGGATCCAGCCACAGCCAGGGATGTACCATTGACCAGGAATGGAATCGACAACCTCCTGGCTCACTGGAGGACGCCCCCCCTCCCCCCTCCCCATGAACCACACTGGCCAGGGCTCATGGCTGAAATCTTAAAAAGAAAATATCAGATCTCTGGTTGCACCTGTCTATGTATGTGTGTGTGTCTGTCTACCTCCAGAGGATATTACTAAAATTGGTTTGCGAAGAGCTCTGTTTAATTGGCTGTAAAAAATTAAAAGCACTTACATAAATTAAGAAACATAGCAGAAACTAACCCAAATGTTTTCAGGTTCTGGGGAAATATTTGATATTAATGCTAATTTAAACAGACGTATCTTTTTTTAATTATTAATTTTTAATGCGCTCTCTCTCTCTCTCTCTCTCTCTCTATATATATATATATATACATGCATACATATATATATTAAAGGATTACTAAATGATGCACAAATCCTTTCATGTCCTTAAGGCCGTTCCCCAGATAAATAAAACCTGCAGCTCACGTGGAGATTGAGCCACTCTTAACTAACCCGTGAGCTGCCAATTTTAAGGGTGTTGACTCCTGGGTTCATGTTTCCCATTTAAAGGAAGTTTGTGCACCCAAACTGGACTGTCCATAACAGAGGAATTTAAAATCACTGGGAAGTGAGTCAGACAGCATCTGTTGTGGACAGTTAACCCAAATTTCTGGAGTAGGCTTGTATAATCTAAACCTTTTTTTTTTTTTTTTTAAGTTCCTTCCTATCTCACAAGTAATATGAGAATCTAAGCACTCACTATAATAGTTATTGTTTCCTTTTCCCCATAAATTTCTACCTGGAAAGATATCTCACCAGTGGGCATCATCATTAAACCTACTTCATAGGTCAAAACATGCAACTCATTGCACACATAGTTAAGGGCGTTCCATTCCTGGTGATGCCAACCCCTGCAAAGGTCAGATTCCAAAGAATTCTTTTTCCTTGGGCCAGTGTTGCAGTGAATAAACACGTGATCATGAACTTATCAAAACCTTAGAAGATACTGTTGTATCTACCACCAAAAATATAGCCACCCAAGAAAAAAAAAAAAATCCTTACATTCCCTGGACAAGTTGTATTAGACAACATAATTGCTCTCAACCATATTCTAGCTAAAGAAGGTGGGTTTTGCTTTAATGTTAATACTTACTTATTATACTTGGATAAAACACCTCTGGTGAAGTACAAATGGAACTCAATAAGATCTGGGCCCAAACTGAATGATTAAATACAGTGCCCACTGGTAGCCATCGTTCTTTGATATCTTCAGCTGGCAGACTGCAGGCCTTGCCTCCTGTGGTTCAGATCTCCAAATTGGACTTGTCACTTTGTTTGCTATTATAAAAAATTTTGCTGTTATAAAACTTTGTTTTGCATAGCTCGACGCTATAAAGACACTGCCCAGATGATGGTTGCTTACCGTTTTCAGGTGATTACCGAGGCCTCTGGGACGTCATATGAGAAACCTCTAGAAATTACAGATTTATGTCCTTAAAAGTTCATGATGGTAAAGCTCAGGTGCCCTGACAGGGAACTGAACGCTCAAACTTTTGGTGTAAGGACTGCTGAGCCACGGCCAGGGCTATTGTGGCATTCTGGTTGCTGAAAGGTGGCCCAGGCTCGTAAAGAAAGATCTTTCCCTCTGACGCAAATCACGACCTAACAGGAATGAGACTTTCTAACAATGGAGCGCCGATGAGATGATACCGTCCTTTTCATATCGGATCGGTTTTGCTTTCCAATGGTTGGAGAGGTGCTTTCAAAGAAAGATCATCAAACAGGAGAAATGTGAAAAGTAACATAAATGGACCCAACTCCAAACTGCTACCCCAGAACTGCCTTACCTGTCTTATGTCTCAAACCTTTGGAATGTTTAAATTGGGCAAAATAAACTTTAGGTCAAACCAACACTCTATTCCAAAGCTATGTGCAAAGCTGCCCTGTTTCCCCGAAAATAAGACAGTGTCTTATATTAATTTTTTCTCCCAAAGTTGTGCTAGATCTTATTTTCAGCGGATGTCTTATCTTTCATTGCTCTACGTCTTATTTTTCGGAGGATGTCTTATTTTCGGGGAAACATGGTAACAGGAAAGCAGACACTGAAAATGAAAGCCATTCTTTAGAATTAGCACCATCATGTGTAAAGAATAGCTAAGCCTCTTTGCATCTACTGAAATTCTTTCCTTGACTTGTTAACACCAATAGAAGTTCTTTCTATTCAGGCCATTATTCCCCTTCCCTTTCTCATAAAAACCCCTTGCCTCCACCCCCTAGTGGGAACACTATTTGGATATGTTTCTACCGGAATCAGAGCTTCTCAAAGTGCTGTTCTTTGGGTTTTCAAAGAAATGCTCGTTGCCTCTCACTTTGGTCTTTTAATTTTTAAGTTTAACAGTGGGTTCCACTCCATTTTTAAATTCATTAAAAAAAAAAATCAATGTGAATTTAAGATGTCTCAAGGCCGGACCCTCTCTTTTGAGAAGGGATGGCGATGGGGAAAAGCTTTCGCCCCGGGAAGCAGGGGGGGAGGGAGGGTAATGAAGGGCGGCCGGGGAGCCCCGGCGGCGGAAAGCTGGAAAGGATGCAATCTTGGGGGGAAGGGCCCTCGGTTGGACACCCCTTCCAGTTACCAGCTCCTCTGCCAAAGCCGCAGTGTCCCCCACTGCTCAGGGGAGGCGGTTGGACCCACACTCCCCTCCCGGACTCTAACCCCCCTCGCGCCCGGCCCCCGCTCCGGGGGGACCGAAGCCTTCGGGGCTGCGCCTCGGAGCCGCGCCGGCTGGCGGGACGCCCCGAGGACAGGCCCGGGGCCAGCGGCGGCCTCGCGGCGCGTCCACATGCGGCGGGGCCGCAGGGCGGGGCGGGGGGACCGGGAGCCCGGGGGGAGGGTTCACATCGCCGGGAAGTTCCCGGATGGTCGCAGCCTCCCAGCGCCGAGCGCTTTTCCTGCCCCGCGGCTCAGCCTGCCCCGCAGACGGGGGAGAAGTTTCCCAGAAAAATGCCCGGCGCGCCGCGGCGCCCTGGAGCCGCCCGGAGACGCTGCGCGGTAAGGGGCGCGCGGCCGCCGCCTCGGGCGCCCAGGTCCCGGGTCTCCGGGGAGGGACCGCGGACACCCCCGCGGCTGCCCGGGACCCCCGGGGGGACTGAGGGCGGGGACGCGGCTGGGCGCTGGGGGGGCGCGGGCACAGCCCGGGGAGGGGCGCGGCCCCGGCCCCGCGGCCCGCGCGCCCTGCCCGTCCGGCCGGCGGGGCGGGAAGGAAGGGGCCGCGGGGAGCGGGGCTCCGGGCGCGGGCGCGCTCCTGCCTGGGCTCCGGGGACCCCAGCCGGCCGGCGGGCACTCGGGGCCGTGGGCGCCGTGGTGAACCGCGACGGGGCTTCGCGGGGATGAGCCTGGGCCGCATCTGCGCCCCAGCCCGGCCGATGGGACTGGGGGCACCCCGGGGCGCAGTGCGTGCCAGGGAGCTGCCGCGCCTTTTCCGCCGCCGGGGACCGTGCCCGCCCCGCACCCCGGCCTCCCCCCGGCCTCCCGCGGCGGCCCGGCCGGTGCTCGCCCTGCGGCCGTGCTGGGCGCGCGGTAGGTGTGTGTGCGGACCTGGGGCTCCTCGGTCCGGTCCGCGGCTTTCCTCCCGCCTCTCTCTCCGAACTTCCCGACAGCTGCACTGCAGTCTCACCTCCCCCCCACCCACTTTTTCCTATTAAAATAAGTCTCTCTTTTATTTTAAAAGAACAGTTAACGAAAGTTGCAAGTGTAAGAAGAACCAGCTGCCCAAGTCGTGGGGCTGGGGCGAGGAGGGGAGTAAGGGGAGGGGGGCAGATCTTAAACTGGTGCTTAGACAGCGAACTGTTTGGGACGAACAAAGGGTGTGTCTGTGTGAGGAACCCAACCTGGCCAGATCCCTGGTCCTGCCTAATCCCAGAGGAGCCGTCCTCCCGGGCTGGGCTCCTGGCCTCAGACTGCCTCGATTGTCCAGGGAGCCTCTCCAGTTGTCAGATTGGGCGGACCTGGTACCTTTTTTCTGAAAACTGTGTGTCCCTGTTGTCCCCTGGATAGTCCCTGGATCCCACCCCCAACTGCTGACACCAGGTAACCCCAGACTCCAGGCCGTGCAGCTGGGAGCCCCCGGGGCAGAGCGCCGTGGGGCGTGTGTGTGTGTGTGTGTGTGTGTGTGTGTGTGTGTGTGTGTGTGTTCTTTTGCCGGTTTCCAAAGGCAATGTCAAGCAACAGTAGTTTCGTTTGGATGCATTGGCATATTTTTCCTTTTCAAAAAATGCTCTTTTTCTATCATTACTAAAATAATTTTGAGAAATTTTCCATTTCTGTTTTTATAAATCACATTTTTTTACTTCTCGAGGTGAAGGAACCCTGCATCACCCTGACTGGTGTGGTTCGTTGCTTGAGCCATCTCCCCTGCGCGGAAGGATAGCCAGCTGGATTCCCGGGTTAGGTTTCCGGTTCCATCGCTGGTCTGAGTACATGTGGGAAGCATTGGATCAATGTTCCTCACATCACATCTCTCTCCCTCTCCCTTCCCCTCTCTCTCTTTAAAATCAACAAAAACATTTTTTTTTTAAAGAAACTCACATCAGCATTTTTTATCTTCACTGTGTTCAAGACACAGCCTTCTCCTTTTGCTGTGTACTTGTACCTGCCCTTATCCCCACAAGGTTGAGTTTCTCAGGGACCAGATCCCCAGCCCTCTGCAGGCGCCCTTTCCTGGCCTGCGGAGTGGAAGTATGCAGAGTACACTCTGCAGACGCTACTAAAAACCCTAAGATATGAGGACCAAGTGTGGCAGTGGGTGTGAAACCGCCAAAGGCAGCACAGCACAGGCCAAGGGAGCTACCCAGACACCGCGCAGTGTTAGCACCGAGACACAGCAGGATGGGGGCAGCGAAGAGAAGCCTCATTGTCGGGCCTCATCTTTTAGGTTTACTGCCTCTGGTCCTCTAGCCGGGGATGAACTCTTTTTTGTGGGTTTCTGGGTCTGTGTCACTGTCTTTGGATGTTTCAGGTTGTAATTTTTAGGGACATATATGTTTTCTACAATGCACATCAGGAGAACAAAATCAAACCAGAGTACCTGTTACCTGTTGCTATAATGTCTTCACTGTTAAGCACCGGCTATTTGGGGTTTTACCTCCCAGAGCCATGGTCTTCCTGAAGCCTGCCCGCCAGGGAGGTCTGCCACGCTGCCAGGGACCTCCACGCAGAGGCTCAGCACCCACAGTTACGCCGTGGCATGGGAAGGTGTGGGGTGCTTATTCCTCGTTCACAGCCACTGCCCACACATGGGAACCAGGCCACAGGCAGCATCGAGCCAGACACTCATCCAGCACCGAGGGCCCCTGCTGTGCCCTGTGCTAAGAGTAAAGGGGGACACTTCGCTCAGAAAGAGGTGACGTTTGCCCCCCCCCCCCCATGCTTACCTTCTGGTAGAAATGAAACATGGTTTCAAGCAGCAGGCATGCACGACAGAATGTTGTAAATAAGGTTAAAAAAACAAACGGTACAAATCAAATACAGGGAATGTAGAGGAGAGTGCAATTAGGTCCAGCTGGAGGGGGTCGGCCCTTCCCTCATTTGCTGGTTCATGGAACAAGCGTTTATTAAGTGTCTGCTATGCGCCAGGCAGAGTGTGCATCGTGCTCCGCCTTCCCCACTGCTGCTGAGGAGCAGTTCGGGTCCAGCCTCCCTGTGACCAGGGAACACTTCTCACTGGGCCTCATGGTGCTGCCCGGCCCAACATCTGTCAAAATCACAAACTCCGTCTTGTGTGTACTTCGGAATAACAAAAACTCTAGGCTCACCAAAGCCCCCGGAATACCTTCAGTTAGTTGAGTAATGTGATTCCGCCCCACACGCTTTAACCAGTCCTTGAAGTATGCTGGTCCTTAGCCATGGGCGTGCCTGGAAGTTTATGAGGGTTTGATTCTGTTCCTGGGGGTGAGGCCCAGGAATCTAGGTTTTGAAAGCCCTCCTGGGGATGCTGACGTGAGGCCGAGGGCAGAGTTGCTAAAGGTTAAAGTTCGGGCCAGGAATTCGGACAGGCCTTGCTTCCCTGCAGTCCCAACTCGCTGTCATTTACAAGTTCTGCGGCCTCTGCTTCTTTACCTGTAAAACCTACCTTGTTCTGAGCGTGAGAGGAAGTCATGGATGTGGGACACGCAGCAGATGTGCCTGCTGGTCGGTATTTGTGGGTTGTTATTGCTCGCATCAGTGTTCGCTTGTATGAGGCAGTGTTGCGATTCCTCTTTCCACACAGAAGTACAAAAAGAGCCTAAACAGAGGAACTGCTTTTTATATAAATTAACGTTTCCAACAATCCGTTAGCTGTCTGTAGTCTACTGAGAGCTTCACACCCTTCACCTCATGTATTCTCTTAACAGCGAGGAAGGAACCTCACAGAACAGAATCTCAGTCCTTGGGGCTCCCAGCCCTCGGTGTCTGCTTCCCCAGGGGAGCCTACTCTGCCGAGATCAGAGATCATCGGGGCAGACGAAGGGCTGGGAACCAGAGACGGCTGCCTTCCTGGCCCTTCGGCACCAGGAAGTGTCAGGGTACCACACTGTGGCCATCACGCAGTGTCCCTGGCACTATGGGGTGGCCAGTGGGACTGCCTGCCCCCACAGACAGCTTTGGTCACAGGGGTAGCACCTAAGCCTGTGGGATGGACATCCCGCTGCCTTTGTGTTCTTTCATGGCCAGGGAACTTTGATTGATCGGAAACATGCTCGCTATTAGTCTTCATATTAGTTATAAATTGACTTTGCTCCTACTCAATAAAAGAAAAATACAACTAATATAAATAGCCCACACGATTGCCTACCATTTTCATTAGTTTAGAAGTTTCAATAAACATGGCTCATTTTGTAAAAACATGTTGTACAAATTTAACATTTTAGCATTGCTTACTATGGATATATATTTTTTTCCCCATCTAGTAAGCCACCTTTCCAGGGTAACTCAATTTCTTCTTTTTAATTTTCTTTGATCTCTTAGTTATATTAAATTAAGTGAATTAGATTTTCAAAACTATGATCCGAGCCAAGCTTTTAAAAGAGTCTCTCTTTCCTTCCTATCCACTTGCCTTATTTTCCTTCCTTTCCCTCTCTCCCCCCTTAACATTACCACTTACTGTGTGTCATTTAATTGAGTCATTTTTGGTCTCACAGCCCTGTGAGAGGTCCTGCTCATATACATGGCACCTGAGGCTAAGAGAAGTGAGCTCACTCGCCCAAGGTCACAGCCAGTGAGGTGAGCAGTATTCAGACGGGGGCAGTCTGATCCCAAACTCTGCACTCCTAACCCTTCGTTCCCCTCTGGCGGCATTGCACACCCCCTTTCCCGCAGGGGGCTCTTTCCTCTCCCCATCTGTGTGCTTTTGCGTGGCCAGTTCTTCTCCTCACACAGCTACTTCTTTTCGCTTGATGTTGAATCCTATAGATTCTTCATGGGCCACAAATATTTTTTAAGAAGACAAATAATAGACTTGGCTAATGCTCGATAAATAGAGAATATAGGTGAAATGAACAAGAAGCACAATCACCTGCACAGTTCGCTAGTTTAGTAACTTCATTTCAACATGGTTCACCTTGTAAAAACATTTCTTTTCAAGAGCCAAAATGTTCTCTTCTCTGCGAGCCGGTTCCTGCCTCTTCTAGTAAATCCTCATACTTGATTCCTTTAAATGCATGTAATATGTACACCTTATAACTTAGTTCTACTATACAGCTACTGTATTGTTAACAGCTGTAGCACCTTCTGCTGTAGGGATGGAGATGTGTGACTGGTGCATTATTAGTTATTCATAGTCACCCGTTAGAGTTGGCACTGCCAGCTCAGTGACCATCAGCTCACCTGTTAGCTCTTGCTAATGATGCCCAAACAATCAATCCATTGAGTCAAGTCAAACAACCAACCAATTCAGTGACAGAATAAATATAGTCATTTTGTTGGCATCCACAGGCCAAAGGAGCAGTTGGTTGAATTTCGTGTTTTTCCAACACTTGTGTGTCTCCTCAGCCCGTTTCTGAAACCTCCCAAGC